TGTGAAAGGGATAACGATGCCAAATGCACGGAGAATTTTTAAACCAGTACATCACATTGCGATGCGACTACTACACAAGGACTTCTCCAGATTCTGCCTAATATGGAGTTCTGAAAGAGAAGAACATGTGCAAAGAAGGCTACATACATATGGTTCCCTAGGTAGATTATCGTTATGAAGATTATTATTATTGTTAGCATACCGATTTCTTGGCATTGGGCGGACATATCTCCGAATAGAGCCCCGCAGCAGCTATGGGGAAATAGCCCGTTCAGCAAGACCTCCTGCTAACGGTTAGTGAACAGTCGTTAGCGCATGCGTTTGGCATGGCGCCAATCCAACATTTTCTTTTCCCTTTGTGCGAACGACAATGCTGTATCGTATCAGTCGTTTTCCATCAGTTGTTTTCACTCACCCGCTACAAGAACTGGTGGAGAAAGGGCTTGGCGGTCCGCAGCGAACCAGGTTGTGCTATTCTCCCCAGGGTGTAGCACGGCTGTGCGAAATCTGTCAGGAGTAGGCGCGGTTAAACCAGTAAAACTACTAGTGTTAATAGCTGATCGTAAGTGCCACTCTTCGGCTTGTCGGCAGAAATTTGGAAAAATCCGCTAAAAGATAAGTGAGTTGTTGGAGGATATCGTACAGAAGGACCAAAGTAGGAGGTCGTAGTGTCACTGCCATTTCACCCATCCTGATGCTAAACTCTGTCCACCATGACTCAAATACGACTCCATTGTAGTGACCCCATAGGGAAGGTGGACCTTGAGTCTCAGTTTTTCAGCAAGTGAAGAGGGTGAGAGCGGCGCAGTTTGCCGACGGAGGGGGGGGGGGGGGCATTTTGCTTTCGTTGCTTCACTAGTTCTGGTTTACAAGTCTCACTCTGGTGAAACCTGTGAACTCTTGTGAAGCTGGAGCAAGCTCGTCAAGCCATGGTGAAACCTGTCAACTCGAGAAGAGGCTGTCTAGATGGGTCGACACCTCGCTGAGAAGTCGTTTGAGTGCAAGCTCCCCTAGCCAAACAGCGGGTGAGGGCTATCTTTCCGAACTTCACCTTGATATTTGGTATTTCAAAGCGTTCAAATGTGAACCAAACCTGAACTGATGAAGGTTCGAAGAATGGGAGATATGCATGGATCAATCATTTGGGTACACGAACTTGACACCCTTTCGTGAGTATGCTTATGATGTTCTTGAGCATGCATGACCGACTCAGAACCGGCCGTCACTCAGGCTTCTTAGCCCATAAGCACGACTCTATGTACTCATTGGTCCGTCCAAACTGGAAAGGACTTGCGCAGGCAATAATAGAGGCTATGAAGCGCGAAGCACTCTCAACACCCCATCATTACCCAGCCTATATCAAGAACTGCACTAATCAAACGTGAAAAACCAGAAGCGTGTGCCTCTTATCCTCTCACTTCCAGAAATGAGAAGAAATCACACAAATCTTAAAGGTGCTCTAGCGCAGCGATTACGGTATGGACGTAAAATTGCGTTGCAGAGCGCCTGCAATATCGCGTCCTTTCAGCTTTTTGCTGAAATCATCTTCCTCATGTCATCTAGTGCGAGGAGTACAGTTGTAACCCCTATTTTCTTATTTTATTATATTTTTTTCAAAGAAAACATTCGCAGGGTCCTCATATTTTGTTTTGCTGGGCAATTTTCTTTTTTTCTTGTCACACTGTTCACGTTTTCATGAATTACTTTGCATTTTCGTGAAAAGGCTTTGACTTTCTTGACCACAGTCAACGCCACAGAACCATTTGCTTCAAGGAAAAATGCGTCTTGCTGTACGCTTGCTGCGTCCAGCAGCCAATCAAAACGTAAAGAATCCCAAACTTTGGCAAGATCCCGTGCTTGGATACTTCGAAACTCACGGTATAATTTTGGAACTTGTTTTTATAAATGCTTGTGTTTATTAGATATTGGAGAATAACAGTCTTTACAAAATCCACAAAAAAGATCAAAGTGCAGCTTATGTAGGCTTTGGACTCAAATATTGGGTCTAAAATGACAATAGGAAAATAGTAGAAAAAAGTAACAGTAGCAGGAAATAGAAAGTGTTGTTGTAGGTAAAACCGAGTTTCTTCCTGGAGAACAATACAACTTGACAGACGACGAGAAGAAAGCAGTTCTTTGGAGGTATCGTGTGAAAGAGATTCTCAAGAAGGAATATCTACGTCGTGAATACGATCCTCACAATTTCAAATACAAGGTTTGTGTTTTGCAGATATTACCATCTTCCTGAAAACTCTCCAGCATCTTCTCTCTTCGGTGTAGTGTGAGCCTGCTTGAAGCTGAGAAGACGTTTTCACACCACGTTTTCCGGCGAGGCTCATTTGCTGATTGTTATAGTGTAGTTCGCTGCGGACGGTTGGGCGTATCCGTGCGCTGCGCTTGGCGCGGTGCCGAACTCATTCTACCAACGCCAAACCGTCCGCAGAGAAAGTGTATATTTCGACGTTTACCTTTTGATATTATGTGGAGATCATGTTCAGGATGAACATTCATATTTCTTCCTTCAAAGTCCCACCTACGGTGCCAATACGGCACCTATTTCCTTTTCCCAATATGCCTACTGCTCACCTTTTGATCTTTTTTCTCTTGGAATCTTCGACACTGTACATCACCCTGGACAAACTAAAGTAATCATTCATTCTTTTAGTACATTTTTTCGTTCCATTTCTTCTCTTAGTTAATATTGCCTGTGTTTCTCTTACCGCGTTCGCTATCAGTTACTGACTGTGGCGCGTCCATTGGGCGCAAAATAAATAAATAAATAAATAAATAAATAGGCTCAAACGTCACCCTTCTTTTTTCCTCTTGAGCAGCCAACATTTCATCATAATTTTTTCCGCACCGTTTTCGCGTCACAGACTGCGTTCATGGCATTAGCGCAAGCGATAAAGGCAGTGTTTTAGACTTTCGCGATGGATGCGCTTCGGCGCGATACCCATTGCGAGTAGCCCTCCGAGTATTAATAACCGTGAACGCATTACCGCAGCCGAGAAATCTATCGTTCGCGCCCCCTTCGTGTTTTTGAGAGAGCTGAGGCAATACAATACACATGCAGCGAACAGGCGATCGCGCCTTCACACAAACGAAGCTGAAGTTGGCTATTCTCTCTCTCTACACTGCTTGCTCTCTCTCATCCATCCATACTCTCTCAAAGACACAGCGCCGGTGATGATCGATAGCAGACTGCGTATTAGGCAGCGCATACCCTCCCGTTCCCCAATAATCTCTCAATACTTAAGCAGCCGGCGTTCTCCAATTCCCGTCTGCGGTCACGACTATAGCAGTGTAGCTGCAGTTATAAAGCGTCGACACGCGTTACAGCGCGTCGTCGCTCTATAACTTTCGGACGCGCGTTACCGCGAAGTCCGAAAGCTGCCTAAAAGGTGATTTGAAAGTCTTGGTGAATGCGCGACAAATGAGTGGATGGGTACTGATTGACTTCGGGCACCAGCGATACGACATTTTTGGAAAACGGATGTCACGAAACGTCGAACCGTCAGTGCTCTATTCTACCGTCCAAAGTATAAACGCAAGCTCTCTGGGGAAATGGTTGTTTTGTTATTGGTTATTGGGAAGCATCTCGTGCGTAACGCTCTGATGAAGACCTATCTTACCTTAATTTTTTAGTTTTCTGCCCAGTCATGAATCGAATTTCAGGAGGGTGTGGTGATGGATCCTGCCATGTTCCGTTGGTATTCGGCTGACATGACACAGGCAGAATTCTTCCGGATGACTCCACGATCAGTGTTCCTTTATGTGGGATCTGTTCTTCTGATATTCTATCTTTACACACGGATTGTCTTCATACCAATAGTAAGTTCATTTCTGTTAAACTGATTACTGTCACCTTCAGGCTGTGTCTCTGCGTCAGCTACGCCGACGACTAGGAAACTATAGATATCGATCTAGTGTACGCCAGCGTTTTCGGGGCAACATTTCAATCTCGAAACCACCGTGAGAACGCTTGTGTCGATACCTATACTTTCCTAGTCGCTGACGCTGGCATACGCTCGAAACGCTGCCGTACGCTGACACCAAAGTATGAACGCAGCCCTTACGGTAAAGAGTCATTCCTAAGACGCATGTGGTGCTTGTTGAAACAGACAGCTTCTAGCACTGAATTTTAGGATAAATCGAACGAAGCTTGCTTGGATGGAGAAATGTTGTGGTGGGATCGTCAACGAGGTCGTACACTGACCACGTGTGGATCGGGAAAACTTGCACCCATGTTTGGAATCGATTTTTAGATTGTCTTACTGCAGTGTCACATATTTTAGTTATTCTAGTGCACTACAGCGTGGGCTCTTTTGTTATTTTTTAGGTTGTATAGATATAGCGCAAGAGATTCAAATAAATGTAGTGTTTTACGTCATCGTCAGTGATAGCTGTGTAAAGCCACATGTATTTTGCCTTTGGTTTCTGAATTTTGTGCTCTATAGATTCTGAGTTTGACAGGCTCTTGTGAAATGGCGGAACTAAAAGCCGCTCTCAAGCAAGCGAAAAAGTTACTGGGCGAAAACCATAGTGAGGATGCCTTGAAAGTGCTGCAGGTTAGTTGTACTTTACTTGTCGGATTTTGTATGACTGTAGGTAAGAATCTGAGAAACTTTCAAATTCAGAATCTTGAAAAAAAAAACTTACGAATTCAATTTTAGGAGTTTCTTGATGATGGCGTTGAAGACTACATGATGTTCTGCTTTGCCGCGTTAGCTTACGCCAACATGGATGATAAAACCAAGGCTAAGGATCTTTACGAAAAGGTCCGTGACAGCGTGTGTTACGAAAAGTGTCGTTGACAGCGACCACTTTCTTTAAACATATTCTTATTGAATGTTCTAGTTTAGCTATCAAATTGATGAAAAATGCCTATGCATGCAAGGGTTATTAAATTATACGATTCCGGAAAGTAAAGTAGTGATGAGGCATCTTATCGAGTATTCGTATAAATCTCTGTATGGTGTGTTCATTATGATGTGGCGACTGTTTTAGTCTTTTTCTCAAGAAGCAAAATATCCAAGTGTGACTTTGTTGTAGTGCCAGAATGTTTTACTCCAGCCACTGATCTCATCTACCGAAGTGCCGATAACGGCCAAGTGCAGAACTGGCTTTTTGTATCAATCCATGTTGGGGTGCGCCGTACCGCTTTTTGTATCAATCCATGTTGGGGTGCGCCGTACCTATATTGGAATCGTAATGGTGTTCTTACTGCGGTTTGGTCTATAGCATTACCTGCGGTGCTAGCCAGTTTCCTAGTCAACGTTTCTTCCTCTCAGACGAGCGTAGCACCTAACCAACCCAGAAGGGACATAAGGCCTGGTTAGACAGACGGGACCCGCTACTTGAACGCGGGCCGTGCGTGCGGGAAGGGGCGTAGAGTGCCACCTGCGTAATGTAATGTTGAGTAACTATACGAAACGCATAATTTGTGTCCTAATTGCATCTCAATTTTCGCATCTGATTTCTCGAATAGTCTCTGAACAAAATAATATTGCCTGTATTCTCGAATGCTCACAGAGGAAGTTTCATCTATGGTTCGGTTTCAGTGAGTCGGAAGAGAAGAGACTTGCAATAGAAGAATCTCGAAGAAGGTTCCTATTTGAACTGTGCCGTTATGAAGAACTTCAGGCATGCTTTCTAATGTCTCTCGCTTCTTGATTTACATCATCATAAATTTGCTGTTTAGAAAGATCTGGGCAAGGATTTGGTTCTAATGGGAAAGATTATAGAGCGGTTATCTAAAAAGGATGTCCTCACATCAACAGAGAGTACATTGGTATCCTTTGAATGGTTTTTCCTTTTTTAATGAGCATCCTTGTACTTGTTATTTTTAGTTAGAAAAAGTCTTCGGTGAAGTAGAAAGTTCACTTGAAACAAACGCTGAGTGGAATTTACATTACTGCAGATTCCTCTACAAGGTACTTCCCATTGCACCTGTTAGAATGCTTTCATACTGTGCGTCAGCGTTTTGAGCACGAAAGTAAAGGTATCGAACTACCGTTTTGGGCGTGCCAACATTATGAGCTTTCTG